ATCTAAAACATTCTGACCATAATTAAAAAATTCTAATTTTTCACCAAAACAAAAGGATAAATGTTCCATGGCAATCATTTCAACTAACTCGGTCCTGTTATTTAAATTATTATTATATACAATAAGTAGTAATGGATGGAGCAAACTCGGTTAATCGCAGTTGACTATTGGAAATGCTAACTCAAAGGGATGAGCAGTTTTCATGTGCTTGTGAAAAGATCCATAACCACCTCCATCCTCAAATTTCAGAATAATCATACAAAATTTGCGCTTACCTTAGATTGGACAACCCTCTGCATGAAAACATTTTGTGAAATAATGAGAAAAAATTTTGTATTTCACTTTTTTACCTTTATCTATCACGGTATTCATCATCATCATTCATATCCACATCAATCAGTTCTCATCTTCATTCATATATCCACATCAACCGAAAGAAGGATCTTGCATCTTTTTCTTAGACAATGAAAGCAAGAAAAAGAAAAAATAGAAAAACATTTCTTTTTTGAGGTCTAGAAATCAAAAACAGTTTGAAAGCGTTTAAGTAGTGGAAAAAAGGTTGAGAAGATTTTGTTTGTCGTTGTTGGCACAATTTTTGAATCTTGCTATCAGTAATTGAGTCGGGTTGGGCGTCAGATAAGGCATAGGCAACTTCGTGGATGTTGAACAATGAAAACACGCATGTTTGCCACCTTTTGAAATTTTCTTTGGCAAAAACTTCAATCTTTGATACATCGGGAAAAGTTTTGTGACATGTTAAGCTGACAGGGATCACTGGTAGAGTAGGTACAGTAACTGTGGATTACGTAGTATCGACATTGACAATGAGTATCAATATCGGTAGCATTAGTTCTTCTAACAATCGAGTTTCTATAGATTGTTAGAAGAAGAAGAAAAAAAAGCCAACGAACTAATGCATAGTAATAAGAATAATAATAATAATAATAATAATCTCTCTCTCTATATATATATATATATCTCTCTATATATATATATATATATATATATTAAAGGAGAGTTTTCAATCAGACACATGACGTAAAATTAGGAAGGGCAATCCAAAGGGCAAAAAATTAAATAGCCAAGCACACATGTCGCAACCACATTACTCCATCATTTAATGTTACATATTTCTTTGTAAATCTGTAAAATCTATAAATAACCTATTTTACTAAATCTAAACAAATAAGATTGAAAAAAATAAAACTATACATATATACGGACAAAACAAAAGATAACTACGGACCACATATATAATGTGCATTAACATAAGTATAATACTTAATATTAAGTCAAAAACTTATCTTGGATTATTTTGAGTTATTATCCCCAATAATTTTTAAGAATAATAACCGTTTGAACTTTTTTTTTATAAAGAACATAACGTTATAAATAATTACATAACTTTTTAATTTGACGAAGGTTTTCTAAAAATTATATATTATATCTATACAGTATGATGAGTTGCTAATCATTAATAAGTTCAATTCCATTCACGTTGTGCGGGTAAAAATAAATATCAAATTTAAACATAATTAAATGTCAGTATCAAAAAAGTTTAAGTTAAAAAAAGAGAAATTACAAGAAATGAGTATTAATTTATCCCTTATACCAAAAACACGTCAAGATTTTAAAAAAAAGCAGTTGAAAGAGCTGCTAGAAAGCTTGACGAACAAAGAAATAATAAGATGGATATGTTTGGTCAAAAAAATTTTGTCACACGTAGTTAAGAGAATTAATACTTCATACCTATGCCAAATAGATTTTTATTTATTTATTTTGTACTCCTTCTGTCCCATAATTATTGTCTAGTTTGAGATTTCACTTTTAGTATAATAATTATGGACAATAATTATGGGACGGAGGGAGTATTTATTTTTGCATATGCATCTTAGAATTCAAGTGTGGTGTGCGATTTTGATCAATGAATCTTCTAACATTGAATATTGGTAATCTTCATCATATAAAAAATCAATTAGATAATTCGTTATATTTTTTTCATATTATATAATGGTAGAAAAAATTAAAGTTATGATAATAAAAAAAAACGTAGAGATCAATAGGTAGGAAGATTTTTAAAATGAGAAAAACAATAAAGGTCCTTGAAGAGACGAACATTATAAGAAAAGAATATTGAGACATTAAAAATAATTATATGGAGGAAAAAATTACGCAAAGAATAAGAAAATATAAAAAAGAAAATGAAATAATAGTCAAAAATGAAATAATCATTACAAAATTTTTAAGAAATGGATCTTTAAAGAGAATTATTCAAATTTAGTAGGAAAAAAAAACGGTAAAGAGTATGCGAGAAAGAACAACAATTAAGTAAATATTATATTATAGGAAAAATATTTGAACAAACTTCTAAAAAAAGGCCGCAAAAGGTATATAGAGAGAGATGAAATATAAAGATAAGTTTATGGAAAGAAATAATGAGAAAATTTTTTTGTTAGAGCGAGAGTTTAAAAGACATGACACAAGTAGACATATTAAGAGACATTATTATGAAAAATTACGATAATACTTTTAAAATAGATAAAGCAATAAATCATCAAAACGAAAAAGATGGACAATAAGTTGCATTGGATCATTTCAAATATTGAAAATTATTTCACATGGACTTAAAATTATAAAACACATTAACCGTAAAATTTACGCAATTTTAATTCATGTCATTAATGTTTTTTCTACTTTTACATATATCACTCCGTTGGAAATATCATATAATCGTTAAATCATTAAACTCATATATATCTTGTACAACCCACACGTGTAGGGTAAACACTAGTATACATTAAAAGAGAGTTTTTAATCGACACGACTTGCTCAATTAGATTGTTCAAAGTCTTCTTTACTACTGATAACACTAAAATATATACACTTTTAGCATGCATTTTCTACTCATTTTTTACTTAGAATTAGGTGTCAATTAGATAGAATCAGTTTACTTTTAGGTTGATTTTACATTTCAGGGTAATCAAAGGGCCAATGTGGAAAATCAACATAAATGGGGGCCAAATTGCACAAAAGAGCATAAAAAAAGACCAGAATAGAATCTGCTGGAAATCAAGGGCTGGAGGATCGATCAGAGTTGAAGCAAGTGGAGTAATCATTGCTGAAGACAGCAAGTAGAAAACAGCAGCTGCAACTTTCCTACTTAGCTCCTGCTGCTGTTGCTGACTGAATTGATAGGACTATATTGAAATATGAAATATTAAAAAAAAAAAAAAATGAATGTAATTTACACAACAAAATACGGAAGAATATTATATCACAAAAGTCAACAAAAATTTTATTATATTACAACGATAACGCTCGGCTCACAAGTGATTATAATTTTACAATTTTACAAAATATATGTGATATAATCTGTGCAACGTACGAGAATAATTCTAGTAGTAGTAGTAGTAGTAGTAGTAGTAGTTAATATATAGCAAAGAGATTTGGGACAAATGAATCGATCCTGTTAGTCGATTTAAGAAATTTGAAAAATCGAGCTTAATTAGATGTAGTAAATTTTAGTGTGTAATTTTTTAGTTTAACTTTTTTATTTCAACGCAATTTATCCTAAATAGAATCTGGTTGGCTTTTATTATCCGATTGATTGTTTTGAAGAAAAAAAAAAGACTTTTAGTTTGTTAGGATTTTTTTTAATATAGAAGATGAATGGGAGTTTAATTGTTACTCAACTACTACACTTAAAAGAAAATATGTTGAATGCATTTGAAAAATCATAAGCGTATTCAAATATGTTTTTTTCAAAAAAAAAAAATTAATAATCTCATAGTTTATCTTTTTTTGTGCAGACATATTGTGTTTTTAATTTTTTAGAAATCAAATATTTGGATATTTTTGTTAAGATACTCCTTATCCTATTTTTAGTTCTCTTTATATATTCAACGAATTTCAAAATTGAATATTATTCTTTTACGAGTTGATTACCATGACAAGATTATAATCCTGTTAGTTAATGATATTTCGCGACCCACAACTTCCTATTGAAACGAGAAATATAATATCAAAATTCTTAAATCGAATAAAATACAATTCGTGCAATGAATGAGTTTAAGCTTAGTTAGTAGTACTAAAACTGGAAATTTGATATTAGCTCTATTTTGTTATTTACTACCACTTTGAGTGGCACAAATATTAAGAACTAATGATTAGTGAAGATAAAAATTCCGTTTTACCCTTAATTACATTTTGAAATATTTTTTTAACAGAGGTAATAAGATACTTCCTTTGTTTCAAAAAATAAGCGCAAACTAAGGATACATTCATTTAATAATTAATTTACGTATTAAATATCTTTTATATTCCTCGTTAGGTGATTTAGAATTATAAACAACACTAATCGAGAAGGAAATGACATTATTTAATAAGGTTTAAATTAAAAATCCAATAATAACTACATTATGAAATATTGTTTTAAATGGAGAGAGCTTTTGGACATGAGCATTAAGTGTGGCTTTTGGTTCTTGAATAGTAAACATTATTGGAGAAAAATGAGACAAAAATGCACAAAATATGTCGGGTTATCCATTGGAAGCTGGGTCGGGTGTTTTAATTAGGGCAGTGGATCTGGTGCAACGTCGCCGTTTAGCTTTGGATTGCTGCTGAAGCTTTTGTCCATCGGTTTTTATCCATGCATGCATGACTCAGCACTATTCCAGAAGCTTCTTTTTATTTAACTTTTTTTTTTTATGAAAATGCCGCTAGTAGCTTAAGTAAACAGGAATTAACGTAAGTATTGAGGATGATTCAAGCATTATTTTGGAGATGTAATGAGCTGTTTCATGTGAAAATTTATCAAAAAATCATTATTCTAATTATCTTTCTGTACTTTGTTCATCTCAGCCCTCCATCTGTTTCTGTTTCTGACAAAATCTCATCCCTCTTTCTTTCCCCTCTCTTTTGCTTTATTTCCGTTTTCGGGTTAAACCCTAATAGTATAAAAAACAAGTTATAAGCTCACAACATCATTCCAAACGCAGCCGCTTCAACCTTTGACTCAGAAGAACTCCAAGCTTTGGAGTTTAAGAAGAAATGGGTTTTTCCTTCTGTTGTTGATTAAATATTTGATGTGGGTTTTTTGTGTCTTCGTCTAAAATTCGTGGAACAACACAGTATGCACTGATTTGACCAGATGAATACGCTGTGAGGTTCTTGCCATGGCTTATTAGAAGGTCTGACTGTAATGGAGGTAAAGTTTGTCCCCCTTTTCCACTTAAGTTGCCCTGAATTTTGTTTATTTTATGCCAATTTTTGGGATTGGACTTGTCTGAAGAAAGATTGATGCTTTGACTAATTGTTGTGGAGAATGAAGAAGACTCGATTTTTTTATTATTATTATTATTTTTATTTTTTGGTTTTGTTTGTTTAATGTGTACTTTATGTTTTTGGTCTGCTTTATTTTTGGAGCCAATGGGGGTGTCTTTATGAATCCTCATCTTTTTAAAGATTTAGCCTTTTTGAAAACCAAGGTCAAACCTTCTACTGTTGTTGGTTTTTGAATGTTATTTTTCAGATGACCGAAACGAAATCCTGTGCAGCTTTATCACTGAATTATTAAAAGGTGTACTTATAAATTTACAGAGGAGTTGCAGTGATTCCCCAGTTCTGCACATGGAAGTTGCTCATCCGATTCCACTGTCTGACTCTTGGGAAATCCCTGCTGAATTGATTTGGGAGATCCTAAAATGGGTTCCTATAAAATGCCTTATGAGATTCAAGAGTGTTTGCAAGTTGTGGCTATCTATAATTCTGGATCCTGCCTTTGCAAGAGCCCACCTCCGTGGTTATGAAGGACTCCTTTTCATAGGTCCTTCTCGTTCTGCACCGAAACACAGCTTTTTCCATGTGAACCTGGATAACAATCCAACTGAACTTCGCCTCCACCTAACCAGGGATCATGGCGATAAGAAAATGGATCGCACTAACGTTGTGAATGGCCTTGTATGCTTTTTCAACGGCAGTTCCTCATGCTTGTTCAACATTGCTACCCGTGAAATCACGCTTCTTCCGCCCTCAACTGCAGAACTTCGAACTCGTGGTTACTATTTGGGTTTTGATCCGGTCAATAGATTATACAAGTTGCTTAGAATCCAAATCAAAGCGCGTAAATTGGGATGTGAGATTCTCTCAATTGGCCTGGATGCATCTTGGAGACCCGTTGATGGCCCACCCAAGAACATAATAGAGGATAAAAGTGTGTGTTACAATGGAGTTTTGTACTGGATGGAAACGAATTTGAATAAAGAACCACATTATCGCGTTGCTTTTGATCTTGGTCGAGAGAAGTTTCAGATCCTTCCATCCCCGCCTGGGGAAGAACGCAGGCCATTCTCTGTTGGGAGATTTGGGCCTAGTCTTACTCTAATGTCTTGGGTGGGGGATTATACTGTTCGCGGCTGGAATTGGGAGGGATTTATTTCTCGCTGTTGTAATGATGGTATTGGCAGAGATTCAGGGTGGGTGTGGGCTAATGAGCGAGAATTCAAGATATCTTTCTCCCGTGAATATGTGCCTTGCTTAAGGGGTCTTCTTCCCAATGGAAAGGCATTGATTACTGATGTTCGTGCTGGTAAATCAACCCCAGGTCCCTTTTACTTGTTTGATCCACCCAAGGGGGAGTTTGAAACTATCCAGGTTCATGGAACAACTGAGTCAGCTTCAGTACTGTTCAAAAATGAGGCTGATATTTTCTATTATAAGGAGAATATCATCTCATTAAAGTCTTTGATTTCCAGCAGGTAAGTTATGTTGGTTGGCTTTTTACTTGACTGATCTGAAAAATCTCGATTGCACCAATGGAGAGGTCTTGGCGTTTAACTAGTCCTATTCTGTGAATTATTTACCTTAGAGAGTAGAGATGAGGCTTAAACTTGAAAGGTTGGTCGAACAGACATTGTCGTCTTAGCTATTTGTACAGTTAGCGCTGTAGGAAACAGGGGGAAGCTTTTTCTTATTATGTCTCTTTTTTTTGTGTTCTAGCTTTGTTGTGAAAGCTGCCTAAAGCTTCTTTCGTTTCTGTTTTGGGTTAATGGTAAATTATGCTAGTCTAAAATCCGCGGGCGATTTTCTCCTTTCTGTAAGAAGCTCGCGGTATTAGTAGTGTCTTGGTGTAATGTTATGAGGATAATGACTGTGCCCCCAAGAAGTTTTGTATGTGCATCATCACCTATATAGAGATGAAAGACTGAATTTTTAGATATCTATCTCTCTGTTTCTGTTGTTGACCATTTGTAGCAGTTGCTTTTCATTGTTAATTTCTTAATTTCGTTATGTTCTTTTCAACTAAAAAACGTACTCCTTCCGTCCCATAATTATTGTCCAGTTTTACCCAAAAAATTTTGTCTCAAAATTATTGTCCAATTTGACTTTTTATAGATCAAGTTACACATTTGTCCTTAGTAAAAAACATTATCCATAAAATCTTAGTGGTTAAACAATTACTTATGTAGGGGTATATCCGGTTGTTTAAGGTAAAATATAGTTAATTTTGATCAAAAATAAAATCTTTCATTTTAGTAAAACTGGACAATAATTATGGGACAGAGGGAGTACTAAAAAATGTCTTGATCGAGGCTTCATATGAACTAATAAAATTGTGGCGCCTTTAGTTGTGGTTTCTACTTTCTACTGCATTCGAAGTGGGAACTCGCCAGTTGAAGTTCTGTTATCCTTAAATTGGAACTAAGAGAATATGATTAAATTATGAGTGTAACAAGACTACTAGCATGAGAAGCAGGATCGATACATAATGAAGGGTAAAGAATGGCAGCTACAGTAGACAAATCAACACCAAAACCAAACGAAGTTCCTTTTTCTCATTGTAAATAAGCAACTAAGTCGAAAGCCAAGAAATGAATTCTTCGTCTGCTGATGAAAGATGGGGATTATCAATCAAATTGCCGACTAAAATGACAGTGGATGGCTAAATTTCTAAAACTGCAGAGCACTCAGAAAAAGAAAGTAAGCAAGCATTTCCTGTGTTTTAGCAAAGGAAACAAATAAGAAATCCCTTTTATACCCTATTAAAGCAGAATACAGGATATTGATGTGGCAACTTTTTATAAAAAAATTTTGGCTCTAAATGCATCATATTACATAAATCATTTTGCCATGTGTCATTCTCTTTCTAAAAAAAAATAAAAAATAAACTTATTTCTGGATAAAAAAAAACTTCTAAAACACACTTCCGGATCACATTAAATTCCTACAAATTAGTGAAAATTAAAATTTAAAGCTTTTAGTCAAATTCCTTCCAAACTGTTGAGCACTCCCATTTCCACAGAAGGCATCCAAAAAATCGACATATTCAACCATTGCTTCAATTCCCCTTCAAATCTCATAAATAACTCTGACCAAAATTTTGCTCCAAATTCATATCAAAAGGTTTCAAATTAAAAATTTTGCTCCCATGTCTCCAGACGAACTAAAAAAACAAAAGTTTTAATGAAATTTATTATTGTTATGATCTTTATTTTTGATTTCTCACAATTTGATTCCTATATTATTTTGATTAGTTTAGAAGATCCTTTTTTTATATAATAATCAATTAAAAAATCATAAAATTTAGATGATAATTGCAAATAAATATCTTTTCAACCTCATCTAATTAAATTCATTTATAGATATAATTATTATTTCTATCATTACACATTATAATAAAAAATATATATATAATCACATACGTATTTCACTTATATTAGAATTTTCATTTCTATTTGTGAAACAAATTACTTATAACGGAAGGGCCGCCCGGGCAGAACCAAGTATCTAGTTACATTATATAGGAATTCATCGATGACACGTGTAAATAAGAAAAATTGAAAATTCTATGAACTAAAGTTCTTAATCCACCTCTAGAAAGAAAAAAAAAAAAAAACGTTTGAACGAGAGGGGAAATATCATAATCTCAACTATTGCTTATAATGGTTATCGATAACAAAGAACCATACTAACAAGAAAAATATGAACAAAACCTTAAATTATCTTGGGTTCAGACTACAAATTAAATTTGCAATTGATTGAAAAAAGAGTAAAATGCATGATCCCTTTGTTGCCGCCCAGTTTGATTAATATTAAAATGCCACAGTTTGATTATATCATTAGTATTAATATAAATGTTGTTTGCGATTTTCTGAGAACTAAGTTAGAAATATTAAAGATACATTTTTGGGTTGGTTCGGTTGACGCATAATTACAACATTGCTTCTTACTTATGTTAATTTGTTTTTTTTTTTTTTTTTGAAAGGTAAAATGATGTGTTACATTTCAAAGAATAAAAAAAAAATACAAAGAATTTGAAAATTGATTCGTTTATTTTGTTACTTATGAATGATCCAGTGTTATGCTTGCTTTTGGGGTTTGGTGTTCCACATCTTTAATCATAAGATAATAAACGTTTCTTGTCATCTAACGTTTGATTTTATTGACTGAATCATTCAGTCGACTGGACTGTATTCATTTCATATATATATTGAAATTTAAAAGGAGATACATGCCTTCACCATGAACATGATTGATGGCAAACATATGATTTTATAATCTCCGTTAACATATATTATAATTGCTAAATGTAAGATTGAGTATGGTAGTGTTTAAATATAATTATCAAGTTCATTTTTTTTTTTCTTCCCAAACGGATATATCTCTTTATTTTCTTTTTCATTCCCATTACTCTTAAATGATTACTCCATGATTAATTATGTCTTTTTTTTTCATCCCCACTACTCTTAGATGATTATTCCAGGATTAATTATGTCTTTTTGTTTTCTTTTTTATCCCCACTACTCTTAATGATTGCTTCATATTAATTACTGTTAACAATAAAATGAATCTTTAATATTGTTTTTAGTAATTTCTTCTTTTATTATTATTATTATTAAGACTACAGAAAAATCATTTCTCATTATTAGGTGAATTTGATCAGTTAAACCAAAGCTTCTAACCCCTCTAAATTTTATCTTTTCTTCATTTCATCTCTTTCTTGAATTTAAAAGGTTCATTAATAATATTTTAAATTGTTCAATGAATAAAAAGAACATTAAAAGTCATGCATCACCTATATATAATTCTAACTTGTGTGCATTTTACTACCTTCTTCTTCCTCTTTCTTTCTAAGCCTTTGTTTCTTGTTTCTCTATCTCAAATTTATTATAGATAATCGTCTTTCGCGTTAATCTTCATATTTTTCTTCTACAATTTAGTTTTTATTTTAGATTTTTTCTTCTTATTTTGGTTATTCTTTATTTTAAGTAATATATTCGATTTTTTTTTATTTGTCACTTTGCATGGTCTTTATTTCACAATCGAAATATTATGTTTCACTCTGTTGAAATCCAAAAGTAACGCGCTTTACCTTTTTTATTTTGTTCTTATAATGCATATTACTATCGATAAATTTGTTAAATCATTAATATTTGATAGATAGTGTAAGAGACAATAATGTAGCCGATATTTTTTAATTATTAAATTTTATTTTTTTATATAGTTTATAATATACTATTATACGTACTCGCAAAGTGCGTCTAATCTATCTAGTCCACATATAATGTGATAATTAAAAACGAGGTGTCGTTGTAGAAATGGACCGTTAGTTTTTGAGACATTTTACACTAGGTCTTACTTCTTACCAATGACTTTGCGGTTAAACTTAAAACGGGGTAATAAATATAGTTTTTACAAACGTTTGGGTATGTCTATAGTTTTTTAAAACTCTAGGGTCGATATGGGTAATTAACTGGGAAACCCACCAAACTTCAAAAGTCTCCCCAGTTAGTTGTGTTCGATTTGGGGGAGAAGAAGAAAACCCTAATTTCTTACTCCAATTCAAAATTGAATAAGGCATCGATTTTCTTGCTTCACCTATCTGCAGCAGGTCAGTTTTATCCCTCCTTTTTAAACCGCCTTTCTGTCTTTAGTTCACAATGCATTTCCGATTCATTTATTGTGGCTGCAAAGTTAGATGTTTTGATTTGGTAATTTGGGATTATTATTAGGATAGAATCACTGAATTTCAGTTTCTTTTTTCTTTTATTATTTACAATCGTCATCGATGAATTCCTATGTATTTCATATTTGTTTCCTTTGCTAATTACACAGGAAATGCTTGCTTACTACTTCTGAGTGCTCTGTAGTTTTAGAAATTTAGCCATACATTGTCATTTTAGTCGGTATTTGCCTGCATATCCCCAGCTTTCATCGGCAGACGAAGAATTCATTTCGACTTAGTTGCTTAGTTACAATGAGAAAAGGAACTTTTGGTTTTGGTGTTGCTCTGTCTACTGTGGCTGCCATTCTCTTCCCTTCATTATATACCCATCCTGCTTCTCATGTTAGAGCTCTTGCACGTTATTCACATTCTCCCAATTCCCCGTTTCGCTTCCATTCTTCTTTGTCAATTAGTACTTCTAAGAGTTCTAGCTTGAGACGTGATAAACCTGGGTATGGCTGGTTGAGGATCAAAATAAATAAAATCAACAATCTTGATGATGCCCGTGGTTTGTACCAAGAGATTGTGCGAATGAGGCCTCTACCTAATGTCATTCTATTCAACCAGTTGCTTACCCGTGTCATTAAGATGAAAAATCATTGGTTTGCCATTACCCTTTACAAGAATATGTGCGTTCGGAATATGTGCCATTACCCTACACCATGAATATGGTCATTCACTGTTACTGCCAAGAAGGTCAAGTAGACTTAGGGTTTGCACTGCTGGGAACCTTCTTCAAGCGTGGGGTTGTGCCTGACGTCATTTCCTTTAGCTCTTTACTAAAGGGAGCATTTGGACTATGCAGGGTTTCCCAGGCACAAGAACTATTCGAAAAGATAATCAATTTGAATTTGTGTGAACCAGATGAGACGATGATTGGGGTTGTGATGGATGGGTTGTGTAAGGCTGGGAACACTAATGTAGCTATTAAATTCCTTAGAGTCATGGAAAATAGAGATATTAAACCTGATGTCATCCATTACAGCATCATTATTGATTCCCTTGTCAAGGATAAGATGATGGACCAAGCTCTTGGTCTCTTCCAAGAGATGATTGAGAAGGGCATTGCTTGGAACGTTATTACTTATAGTTGCTTGATCCGAGGTTTTCTTAATTTAGGTAATTGAACAGAGGTAAAAAAACTGGTCATTGAGATGAATGATTTTGGCATTGCTCCAGATGTCTATACTTACAACATGGTAATTGATTCACTATCAAAGGAAGGAAAGATGAAAGATGCAATTGATGTATTTGAAACGATGCTTCAGAGAGGTGAGACTCCAACCACAGTCACGTATAATAGCTTGTTAGATGGATACTGTTTGCATGGCCAAACAGATCAGGCAAAAGGAGTTTTTGATGCCATGGTCACTAATGGGCTTGTTTCTAACATTAGCTCATACAATATTTTGTTACAGGGTTACTTTAATGAAATGAAATTTGAGGAGGCTATCCATATGTTTCAAGACATTCAGCATAAAGGATTAACTCCGAATATCATTACTTACAATATTCTGTTGAAAGGATTGTTTCAATCTGGGAAGTGCGATGCTGCAATAGAAATATTTATCAAGATGCAACGCAGCACCCTCAAACCTGATTTTTACACCTATTGTGTAATACTAGATGGTCTTTGTAAGAATGGACATGTTGACAAAGCAATCCAGCTGTTGCAGGAGATGGAAGAGGATGGAATAGAGCTAGATATCGTTATGTATAATATTATAATTGATGGATTATGTAAAAGTGGGAGACTCGACGTAGCAAAGCATTTTTACAAGAGTTTGCCTGTTAAAGTGATGGATCCTGATGTTACAACATATAGCATAATCATCAGTACCCTGTGCATGAAAGGTTTGATAGATGAAGCTAAAGAGCTCTTTGTCCAAATGGAAGCAAATGGTTGTTTGGCCAATGAGGCAATCTACAATGTAATTTTCCGACGTTTTATTAAGGAACATAGATATGATGAAGCTGCAGTTTGTGTTGAAGAAATGCTCAGGAAAGGATTCACTTTGGACTTATTTAATTCATCAACCGTGCAAGATTTAATCTCCAAAAAAGTTGCTGCTTTTCAGAATGTACTTCAGAAGATTGATCTCAATGGCAGGACAACTTCGGAGTAAGGTGTCTTTTCATGGTTGCGATAGTTACATAATGAATCTTTCTATCCAAATGTCAAGGCAAGTGTTTTTTCATTTTGTTGCATTATTCTTGCTTTTTCTGGCAGTCCATGATTGGCTTATCTCGAAACAAAAAACTCTAGGATCATACCATACTTGCTTCCCCTTTGATAGGATCTTTTGAATAAATCAATCTAGGACCTTGTGTTTATCTTACTGTTTAAAGATAGTGGAGTGACATTCAATGGTGGATGTACAAAGAGTTTGTGCCTGATCTAATGGAATTTTACTTCGCAGAGCATTTTGGTCAGCTCAACGGTTATAGCCGAAATTGGTCGCAAACAATCATATCAAAACTATCCAAGTGGTTTGCAATGTTGGGACGGGATTATTTAAAAAAACAAAGTTATGTTCTAAACTTCTTGGTCTTCTCTCCCTGCCTGCAGCTCTGAGATAATTTTGAGGACCATCATGGACCATCATCACTTGATGCTTTGCAAAAACAATTCTACTGGGATTGTGTTTCACCATTTCCTCCAAATTCTCCAATAAGAAATTGATGAATGCCAGACCATTTGTCTTTGGAAAATTTAAACTCAATGAACTTAGAGACGGGGCATAAAGCTTTCTAATCTCCTTCTTCACTTTGTAAATCTTTTCTTGGAGACTAGAAAGACCCATTTCTATTCCGTCCAGGTATCGATAGAAAATGAGAGATAGTTCCTCATTAATGTCAGAATCAATTTGTGAAGAAAACTCATCTCCAACATCTATTACAGCTTCCTCTACTGAATAAATGGACAAGGTTATCATGAATATCAGCCTCTCTTTAAGGATTTGAATGTAACCCTTTGAAGGGTCAACCAAATCTTTAAGTATAATATCGACAAGATAGACAACATCTTCACCGACTTGAAATTTGTGTGATCTTGATGACTTTGAAGCTTTTAGGACTCCAATAAACATCTCTGTAACCTCTGGATTGGTAGGCAAGCATTTCTCCAACTGCTCAGAGAAAAAAGTTTCCAACCCTTGGGCCGCCATGGTTCCATCTTTCCCTTTCAGCAAGCACAAAACAGATAAAGATGCTGCACTGTCCACCAAATCCTTCACATAATTCAAGAAGTAATCCAGCATCTGATGATCAGTACATCTTTTTGCAGAGAAATCAACAAGGGTTCTCAGGACGCTTAGTTTTCTCCTAATACCCATGATTTGGTTCTTGGAAGAGACAATAATATCATTTTTCAAGTTGGCAAGATCCTGGAAATTCCTAACAAGACAATCGAGGAGCTCCAGGATCTCGTCGCTTGGACAGGACATGGACCTTAAAGAGTCCAACAGGACAACACAAAGGTTTGTAATCTTTGGCTCCAGTAGCTCAAATTTGTTTAGCAAATCATGACTCACAAATTCCAAATCTTCTCCACCATTCTTGGTGATTGGAGTAGAAAGACCATCTTCAATATCAGCAATCGCATTGATCAAATTGATGTCTTTACCGCTTCCTCACACTTGGTGAGGCAGCCGGTAAACATCGTGAGGGATCTCAACTCCTGCTGAAGCATTTCAGGAAACGCAAGCCTTAATGTCTAGGCTACCAAGTTCGTCAACAGCAGAATCAACTCCTATGGAAGTGCGATCCATATTGGAGATATGTTTGCTGAGAAATGCTGAATGCAAAACCTGTGAAGAAGTGCAGCAGGATTAGGCCTTTTAGCTAGCAAATATGAAATCAGCTGGAAACTCTTTTACACTTCTTTTACATAGATATCTTTAATGTATTAAATCCTCAAATCAGAAGTTAGAAACACAAAGAAAAAGCTACGGACCCCTTCCAATTTTTCTCATCAACTCTACACTATACTTCAGGTAGAAAATGCATATAAAGTTCATCTTTTGCAGAATTTAAGAAGATTTCTAGGAAAAACAAATAAACTTAAGGCAACAGGAGATACAGAGAATCGATGCAACAATTAATCCAACCCGACACGTGAAAAAGAGTAGATGCAAGGAAAATATATCTGTCGATAGGGCTTTCCAAATTGATTGTATATATGTGTTCTTCTACCAGCAGCTTTCTTTTTCTTTTTCTTCCTTGTCTTGTGTGTGTGTGTGTGTGTGTGTGTGTGTGTGTGTGTGTGAGATATGCAGGGTGGAGGGAAGAGATTGGAGAAGAAAGAACAAGTAAATAGTTAGGATTGAAGTTCGAGAGTGATAAATGCTAATCACTGGAGGAAGAGTGGGAGCTATTGAGTTTGGAACAGTATTTCTTTCATGAACTTATAATCTCTATTAATGAAGAAGATACAATCATGCACGTACTTATTTTGTCCAAAAATTATTATTCAGTTTCAGTTTCCACATTTAATACAATTTAAATTTTTTTAAAAAAGAAATAATTCAAACAGATTTAATAATTTCGAGATAGACGAAATAGCAAGGAGTTGCATTGTTGTTTATTCCACTTGTGATTGAATAAGTATTAACTGCATACTACTATTGGGTGGCGCAATTAAAAGATTAAGGCGAATTTTTTTACTACGGAGTTTGGAGTTCAAATGTCTCAAAATAATTTCTGAAATTAACAACAAACATTATCTCATATCTAATGAGCTCAACAGGATTAAAAAATGTAATTTGGAATTAAACTAAACTAGATGCTTGGTCCAGGCAGATGCCCGGGTGCCCCTCTACTTTAATTTTGTGTTAATAGATAAATGAATTTTTTATTTAAAAAAAATAAAATAGTTACACATTTATTTTTTCCCTTTTTTAGCCAAAAATAAAAAATCATCTGCAAAAGAAGAAAAAATATTAAAAAGTACACCGATGCAGAAATCATACAAAAGAATGTGAAGTAATAAAAGGGATAAGTTTATGGACAAATTTAAATCCTATCTTAATTTGATTGATAAATGATAAGTGTTATGAGTTAAAATTGTGTAGATATTTTTGTAAATTAGCTTTTGTTTTTCTGGATAAGAAGTTTTTTTTTCTTTTAAAAAGGGATGACACGTGTCAGAATGGTTAAAGCAATATGGTGCATTTGGAGCCAAATTTTTTTAACAAGAAGTTGCCACATCAACATCCTGTATTCTGCTTTAATAGAGTAAAAAGGATATATACATATATATTCACCTGTAGAAACGAATTCTAGGAAAATTTAGGATTATACGTTTCTACAAGTGTGACTTTGTCTAATCTTAGTAATTCTGTTGTCCCTATCTAACGGGACACGTATTCTTGTTGAAGGTAAAAAAAAAGAAACAATAAAGGTAGAGAAGATAATGAGTAAAATATTTGGAAGTTTGAATTTATAATACAAGAATTTCTTTTCTAATGAGATTACCTAACAGATGTTCAAAATTGAAGGAAATCTCCAAACTACAACACATGACGCTACAGCTAATTTTGCTTTCTACATTTAAAGAAACTTGAGAACAGAGGGGCAGAACGATTTTTTTTTTTTCTTTTTCGAAAGAAGAGTTGGCAGCAATTTATAAGCCAATGTATTAAACAAACCATATCATGTATTTTTTCCGCTTTAAAATGATTATTCTATTGATATTTTCACTTTTAATACAATTTGTATTAAAATAAAAATTTGAACTGACATATGGATCGTGTGTAAGGGTTAACATAATATCTTTAGTTTAGAATAATACTCTCTCTGTCTCAAAAAAATAGTCTATATTGAATTTTCAAATTTGTAATAAAAATATCACAAAACTCAAAACTTAAAGTGGACTATTTTTTAGAGACGGAGGTAGTACAATATACTGGTCTATTATATAACAGTTTTCATTTTCAAAAAGGGGGAAAAAATCACGCGAACTGGTTCTGGAGTAAATAACACTTCCGTTTGCCCAAACATTTAGGGAGCTTACTATAGTAGCAGAGTCACGTTTGCTCTTTCCCACCAGAATTGAAAAATTCTAATGTTTTTCCCCAAAACTGATGGCAGGTAAATTTTACCATTTTCAACCGTCTTTCTATTAAAAGCTTCCAATCCATTTCCGATTCGTTAATTGTGGCTGCAAAATACGTATTCTTTAGATTTCGAATTGTTTGGCCATTCGGATGGAATTCATTGAATCTTCTAGTGGTTTTTTGTACAAGTGTTAGAGATGACCTCTAATGGGTCTCTGATGCTTTTCAAAGTCTGAACTTCGCTGATCATTTTAGTTCATTCACTTTCATAATTGGTCTATAAATTTCCAATAGGAACTATGCGTTATCGAGTATAAACTTTTTTTTTTTTGGTTAATTACACATTTCGTCCCAAAATGATCACACGTAACTATAGTAAATGAATTACAAGAAAACTAAGCCAGCATTTGACAATTTTAAGGACAAAATTTCCTATTTCTTGGTGTTCCAACATTTCAGAGAGGACGATCATCAAGTAAGCATTTTCGGAAGAAATTGCATATAGAAAACTTCTCACTGACTTGAACATATCAGAGCGTAAAGAAAGGAAGTATTCTTCAACAACAACTGGATTTTATCACAAGAAGAACTACAACATATAATAGGAGGAATCCATCTTTTATTTCATCATGGGGAAAAAAGAGTTCAAATAGTAAAGAAACTTTTGACTGGATGAGGAAGAAGAAATGTGCACATTTACAAAAACAGAACCAGTTTCTTCTTCTTCTTCTTCTTCTTCTTCTTCTTCTTCTTCTTCTTCATCATAATCATCAATGGCAACGACAACTTCAAGGGCGGCATTTCCCATTCCTTGTTGTTCCTCGAGGATTTCCCAGGCAGAATTCGAGGCTCGAGGGCACCCACGCAATTCTATCTTTTTCAAGGTAGGAATGTTTCCAAAATCAGATGGAATCCTGCGAAGCATGTAACAGTAGTTCACCAAAAGTTGTTCAAGGCTACTTGAGCTCCCTAATCCTCAAGAAGATCAAACTTGAGCTTCCTAATCCTTGGAAACCTTCTTAGTGTTGACAACATCTCCAAGTTCTCTAGTTGGCTGTATTCGCGATCCTCAAGACCATTTAAATACAGCGAGCCGATATCTACGTGCCTCAAGCTCTTCATTCGCCAGAAGGTTTCCGGCAAAACAATATCCTTGAGATGTTTCACAATTAAGGTTTCCAGATTCCACAGGTTGAGAATGGATTCTGGAAGTTCTGTGGCTTCACAGAGAATTGCCAAGTATCTCAAATGAATGATCAATGTTATTTCCTGCGGAAAAGGACCATCTATATTGATGCGCTCCAGGTCCAATACATTCAGGAGCCTGAAACTGTTAAAAATGGTAGAAGGACATGGAAATACTTTCCATCAGATCCGGTCACCAATAAGAACTAGAGAGTGAGCGAAGGGACCTGTAGGTCTAGTATCAACAAAACCGGACCATTCAGCGTGGATGAAAAGGCGGTAGTCCACGTACCTTTTAGCATTCGATGAAGGAGGAGCGACATCGCTGTCGTGCACACACTGTAGAAAGTTATCCTCTTTGATTTTCACCAAGCATAGATCGTGCAGTAAATCATGAACACGGCATTCTTTTATGCTGCCCATTGAAGTTCGCTTTGCGTGGATCACTAAATTCCGACTGATCAGATCAGACAAGTAATTCTCTGCTACTTCATACTGGCTCTTTTGGTTAGTTCTTGGTATCAGCCCTTCACCAATCCACAAGCTCATCAACTTTTGGGCTCTAACAACTGTATCCTCTGGAGATGCCCCGAAATAGAGGAAGCAAGGCTTCATATTTTCGAGTAATTGCTTGTAGCTTAGTTCAAGAACATCAATGCATCCTTCCCTTACGACTTGAGGACCTGTACCAGATTCAATTTGCTTCCAAAACTCTATTCCTTTCCCTGATAGGATACCTGCAATCAAAACCACTGATAAAGGCAATCCTTTGCAGCTTTTTACAATATTTTTCCTACTTCTGACAATTCATCATCCAGAAGAGAACTATGTTTGTAGGATAACTTTCCATTGAATAATTCTTAGCTCTCCTCATCAGACAGTGAACGAAGAGGATGAGGACTACAATTCGGCATTGCTTGTAACTCCAGATTGTGGATTCGGCTTGTAAATATAATTCGGCTTCCTTTGTTGTCATCCGGAAAAGAGACTTTAATGTTATCCCATGCTTCGATGTTCCAAATGTCATCCAGAACGATGAGATACTTGCGTTGCTTCAAAATTTTCCTGAGGTTGTCAGCCAAATCATCATCAGTACAACCCGAGTAAGATAGGCGAGCATCGGCTTTAGTGACATCCGTTAAAATGTCAAATTAAAGCTCTCTAGGTTTATACTCCTGAGAAACACAGCATCATACGCGTACATCAAACTTGTACACAGTGCGCGGATCATTGTACACTTTTTGCGCTATAGTGGTCTTACCGAGACCAGCCATACCTACAATAGAGACAATGGCGAGTGGTTTCGTTCTTCTGTTGAGTTTCTCAATGATTGCCTTCGAGTCATCCTCCCGACCCAGCGCAGCATCTTGAAGGCTTGAAGATTATTTGTTTGCCTCGTGGGGACGCGATAAAAATTTGTCGCAGAAGTACTTGACATTCTTTTCTTGTACAATTGATCACTGTACTTCTTCGCCTTCGTTTGAATGAGCTTGATCGCCTCTATCACATCTAACAGCTGTAACATATCGTACCAAATAGGATCATCTGTATGTAAGAAAGCATGAGCTGATGACATGATCTGCTTGGAACATCAAATTGATGATTTGTTTCCAAAGTTCTTCCTCATCCCCTCCCTCTTCATGTAGCTCCATGATAATTTCAATGAATGGTTGGAGGGAAAGAACCTCCTTGTGGACAATCATAACTTGAGGCTCTGCATAAGCAATTCTGCTGGAATAATGTTTCACCATTTCTTGTAAGTTCTGCAACATGAAACTGATGAATCCCATACCATTTGTCAATGGAAAACTTACAGTTGATGAATTCAAAGTGGGGAGATGAAGCTTTTTAATCTCCAACATCATTTTTGTCCATCTTTTCTTGGAAATCAGAAATATCAACTTTTAACCCATCCATGTATAGACAGAAAATGAGAGATAATACCTCATCCACAACATTCATTCGCGGGAAAATCCCATCTCCACCAATGGTTACGGCTTCATCCGTTGGATCCATCAAGAAGGTTATCATCATTATCAGCCCCTCTTTAAGGATTTGAGTACTGTAATCCTTCGAAGGGTCAACCAAATCTTTTAGTATAAAATCAACAAGACAGAAGACTTCTTCACTAACTCGAAATTTGTCTGATCTTGATGACTTTGAAGCTTTCAAGAGTCCAATGAACATCTCTGTAACCTCTGGAGTGCAAGGCAAGCACTTCTCTGAGTGATCAGTAAAAGAAGTTTCCAATCCTTGGGCCGCCATGGCTCCATCCTTCCTTTCCAGCAAGCACAAAAGGGACAAAGATGCTGCACTGTCCACCAAATCCTTCACATAATTCAAGAAGTAATCCAGCATCTGATTGTCATTACATCTTTTTGCAGAGAAATCAACAAGGGTTCTCAGGACACTTAGCTTTCTCCCAATAACAATGATTTGGTTCTTTGAAGAGACAATAATATCATCCTTCAAGCTGTCAAGATCCTGGAAATTCCCAACAAGACAATCGAGGAGCTTCAGGATCTCGTCGCTTGAGCAGGACATGGATCTTAAAGAGTCCAACAGGACAACACAAAGGTCTGTGATCTCTGGCTCCAGTTGCTCAAATTTGTTTAGCAAATCCTGAGTCACAAAATCCAAATCTTCTCCATCATTCTTGATGATTAGAGTAGAAAGACCATCTTCAATACTTGCAATCGCGTTGATCAAATTGATGTCTTTACCGGCTTCCGCACACTTGGCGAGGCAGCCGATAAACATTGTGAGGAATCTCAGTTCCTGCTGACCAATCCCTGTGGAAGTGAGACCTATCTTTGAGATGTGTCTGGCTGAGAAATGCTGAATGCAAAACCTGTGAAGAAGTGAAGCAAAATTTGAGGCCTTTTTAAGCTAGCAAACGTTCAAATCATGTGGACTATTTTTGTGGGACGGATGAGAGTATAATTTAAGAAGATTTCTAGGAAAAACAAATGAAGTTAAAGCAACAGGGAGGTACAGAGAGTCAATGCAACAATTATTCTAACCCGATGCGTGAAAAAAGAGTGGATTTTTGCAAGGAAAATATACCTGTGGATGAAGCCTGAAGCCTTCCAAATTGATTATGTATGTGTTCTTCTACCTACAGTTTTCTTCTTCTTTTTTTTTTTTTTTTCCTTTTCCTTGTTTGCGTGTGTTTTACTACGGAAGTTTGAAGTTCAAACGTCTCAAAATAATTTCTGAAATTAACAACAAACATTATCTCATATCTAAAAAAAATTTTGTATTTTTTGAATTACACTAAAAAATATACTTATATAATTCGAGATTTTCCTAGGATTCGTTTTTACGGGTACGCCCTTGTGGCCTTTGTCTAATCTTAGTATTTCTGTTGTCTCTATCTAACGGGACACGTTTTCTTGTTGAAGGTGGAAAAAAAAAACAATGAAGGTAGAAAGAATGTTTGAAAGTGTGAATTATTATAGGGTGTCGTTAGCTGAAATTTTTTCAGTTTGACACTCCGGTGATGGTTGAATAATTTTAATTTTAACCCCGTAATTTGAAAGTTCTCGTTTCGTTACTGATTATAACTTTTTTTCAAAATTCAAGGAAGAAACTTATGAACTTGTGAATCTGACCAAGAATATGAATCAAACCTCCAATCCCCAAACTACAACACATGACGCTAAAATTAATTTCGCTTTTCATATTTAAAGTTATCACAAGTAGATAAATCAACCCTTCATTTTCAAAGGCACAAAAAAAATACAATGATATTTAACCTGTATTCTTCAAGAAACTTGATAACAGAGGATACAACGATTTGTTTCTTCTTTTTCAAAAGAAGAGTTGGCAGCAATTTATAAGCATGTATTAAACAAAATCATATATTTATTCTTTCCTTTCTAAAATGATTATCGCGTTTGGATTTTCACTTTCGATACAGTTTATACTAGAAGTAATTGAATGATTATTTCGAATTGATGCATCGTATAGGTTTTAAAACAGTCTCTTCGGTTTAATATAATATTTTTATAGTCCATAATTTCTCACGACAATGCACTTTGTACGATATACGATATTTTTCATTTTCAGAAAGAAAAAAAGTTAAAGAGGGACTAGTTACAGGGTAATCAACACTATTTACAAAACGTTCAAGGACAGTTTGCAGTTTGCCCAAACTTTTGGGGAGCCTACTGGTAAATAACTCGGTTACTGTACTAGTAGGCAGAGCGACTTTTGCTCTTTCCCACCAAAATTGAAAAATTCTCGATGTGTTCTATTTGGGGGAAAAAAGAATAGAAGAACCCTAATTTCAAAATCGAATTCGAAATTGGGGAAGGCATCGATTTTTTTCTTTTGCGTCTGGAAGCAGGTAAGTGTTATCGTTTTCAACCGTCTTTCAATCTTCAGTTTTTTAGTCCATTTTCGATTGATTAATTGTGGCCGACAAAATACGTACTCTTTAGATTTGGATTTGTTTGACTGTTCGGATGGAATTTTTAGTGATTTTTATTTACAATTCTTAGAGATGACATCGTAAACCATGCGTTTCTGATCTAGTTGTTTCATTTGCTAATGCGTAGGAAATGCTCGGTAGTTATGTTAGAGCTCTCACTCGTTATTCCCATTCTCTGAATCCACGTCCCAATTCCCCATTTGGGGTTCGTTTTTACGCGGTTTTAGCTGCTGCTAAGAGATCTACCTTGAATCCTGATGAATCTCCGTTTGGGTGGTTGGAGAATGGAATAAATAAAATCGACAATGTTGATGATGCTTGCGGTTTATACTGTCAGATGGTGGGAATGAGGCCACCTCCTAATGCAATTCAATTCAACAAATTGCTTGGGCGCACGATTAAGTTGGAGCATTACTCGGTTGCCATTAACTTGTACAAAAATATGTGCATCAATGGCATCCAAGTTGATGAATACACCATGAGTATGATCGTAAAGTGTTATTGCCAAGAGGGTCAAGTGGATTTGGGGTTTGCCGTACTAGGAACCTTCTTCAAGTGTGGGCTTGTGCCTGATGTCACCACCTTTAGCACGTTAGTCGAGGGGTACATTCATCTTGATAGGGTTACCGAAGCACTAGAACTGTTCAGGAAAATAACACTTGAAAAGCTTTGTCAACTAGATGAGATCATGATTGGGATTGTGATGGATGTGGTGTCTAAGACTGGGAAAAGTGGCGAAGCTACTGAGTTCCTTAGAATCATGGAAGCTGGAAATATTAAACCTAATGCCATCCATTACAACACCATTATTGATGCCCTTGGCAAGAATAAGATGGTGGACCGAGCTCTCTGCCTCTTCCAAGAGTTAACTGACAAAGGCATTTCCCCAGATGTTATTAATTATAATACCTTGATCCGGGGCTTTTGTAATTTAGGCAAATGGAAAGTGGTCGATAAACTACTGCATGAGATGAATGATTTAGGTATTGCTCCAGATGTCTATACTTACAATATCATAATGGATTCATTATCAAAGGAAGGAAAGGTGAAAGATGCAATCGACGTGTTTGAGATCATGGTTCAGAGAGGAGTGACTCCCGACATAGTCACATATAATACCTTGATAGATGGATATTGTTTGCTGCACCAAATAGATGAAGCAAAAAGAGTGTTTCAAGCCATTGTTGCTGATGGGCTTTTTCCTGACGTTATCTCCTATAATATTATGATCCATGGCTACTTTAAGCAAATGAAATTTAAGGATGCCATGCATTTGTTCAAAGAGATTCTACTTAACGGCTTAACTCCTGATATATGTACTTACACTATTCTCTTGAAGGGAATGTTTCAATTTGGGAAGTGTGATGCTGCAAAAGCAACTTTTAGTAAGATGCAACTTGGTGGCATCAAACCTGATTTTTACACCTACGGTGTAATGCTAGATGGTCTTTGCAAGAATGGACATGTTGATGAAGCATTTAAGTTTTTGCAGAAGATGGAAGGGATTGGAGTAGAGCTACATATATCTATGTATACTATCATTATTGATGGATTCTGCAAAAGTGGAAGACTTGATAAAGCAAAACATATCTTTAAAAGTTTATCTCTGAAAGGGTTGGATCCTAATGATAAAACATATACCATAATCATCACTGCCCTATGCATGAAAGGTTTGCTAGATGAAGCTAAAGACCTGTTTGTCCAAATGGAAGCAAATGGTTGTTTGGCAAGTGAGATCACATACAATGTGATCATCCGGGGACTAATTCGGGGAGGTAAATATGATGAAGCTGCTGTTTATCTTGAAGAAATGGTCAGGAAATGATTTGCTTTGAATTCATATAACTCATCAAGCATTCAATACTTACTCTCCAGACAAGAATTCACTGCTTTTCGCAAGGTACTTCAGAAGTTTGACTTCAATAGCAGGACCTCAGAAACTTCTGAGTAAGTTTTATTCTTTTGGTTACGAAATTAGCATAATCGATCTTACTGTCCAAACACATTGATGCAAATGTTTTTTGTGCTCTGCATTATTCTTTGTTTTATTGTGATTGGCTTTATTTGGAAACCAAATTTTCTAAGAGGATCTTACCACACTTGTTTTCCCTGTCAAATGTTTTCTTCTTTTTATATAAATCAATCTAGGACCTTCTGTTTATCTTACAGTTAGAAGACAATAGATGTAAAACGACTGTAATATGTAAACGAATACTCATTTCGCTTATGTCTATAGATGAGAAGATTGTAAGCTGAAGGGTACAGTTCATTTTGTGTCAAAAGCTAGCTAAAGTGCTTGACAATTTACTATTCATATGATGACTTAGACTGTCCGTTTGGTTGCAAATTAAGTGTCAGTTAAGATTCTCTGCATCTTCAATCACAGTGGCGATTCACTACTGCTAGTTAGCATGGCTTTTTTGATTCCTTGATTACTTTTCTAGTTTCACTATTGTGCAGGTTATTATTATTATTATTATTATTATTATTCTAATTATTATTTTATTTTTTATTTTTTTTTCTTGGGGGTGGGGGGGGGGGCAACCTGATGGATCGCAACCTGGTTTGCTTGTCCACTTGAATCGCTGATCTGGGCATCAAGGTGATCACACATGGAAAGTTGATTGCCAGTGTCAGATGAGAGAAAACGGCAATTTGGGATCAATGCAAGCATCAAACACTGATGGATATTGAGCACAAAGATGAACTAAAAGACCTTCCTTAAAGTTTAGAATTTGTCCAAAGATGCATGCCTGGCCATTTGCAGGAGCTGACTGGAAAGATGAACCATTCAGGGACTGACCTGCCAATCAGTTGTCTTCCAGTTGATGCTACAATTGGATGGGTACTAGAGGCTGGTCGAGCTTTTGAGATTGAGAAGGATGCTGTGTGGACTGCTTCAGGAGCAGGTTTGGCTTTTTTTAATCACCTCTCGTCTTAGCTGACTCAAGAAGCCCTATGGGATAGAAATTGTGAATGAAACTAATTTATCATCTTTGATTATAATTGCTATGTCTATATTTATGCATAGTGTTATGAATAAGAACTCAGATGGATTGACTGGTTAATTTTTGCAGATGAATTGGTATTTTCAGAAGATAACCAAGTAACCATTTCTAAAGCATACCCAGCATGGAAAAGCAGTGAGTTTCTCTGGTAACTTTAAAACAGGTCAAGAGTGTAAGTTGGCACTGTGTTATACATTCTATGAACTTGACTCATCAGCTTGTATACCAGCGTCCAACATTCTTCAGGTTGGGCCTATTCTATCAGCGTATACTTGGGTTCTTCAGGGAGCTTCCAGTTTGAGGATTACTCGTATTTAAGCTGGCTAGATAAACAAGAAATTTCCTCAGTATTTTATGTTGCATTTGGGTATGTAGCAATGTTCATGCAGGAACAATTTGATGAAGTAGCCTTGGGACTTGCATTAGCTGGGCAGCCAATGGATGGTTCTGTCCGAATTTGTGAATAAATAGCTTGTTTTTCAGCCTGATGGCTCTTTGGGAAAGAGTGGCTAATGGCTGAAAGATTGTTGGATGGGCTTACCGAGAGAAGGTTTAGATCATCGTGAACCAGCCTCTAGTACCATCCAATTGTTGAAAGATTGTTGAGGTTTAGATTGTTCAAATATAATATAGCCTTACGTGAAATAAAATACTATAAGTCTATAACCAAGCTTCGAACCTTGTAAGGGCCTTAGGGGAATCAACATTGATCAAAATATTTTCTAGAGAATTTTTTCTTTTTTTCAAATTTAACTTTACCTCTAATCTGAATGAGTTGATACAATTCTTTTGTACATTAGATAACAGTTTTTTTTTTTTCCTTCTTTCAAAAAGTCCAAGTGAATCGTCGAGATCGGGGTGGTTTCGGAATGGATTAAGTAAAATCAACAATCTTGATCATGCTGTTGGTGTTTATGAAGAGATGGTTCAGTTGACCTAATGTAATTCAGTTTAGCCAATTGCTTGGGCGTGTGGTTAAGTTGAAGAATTACTCGGCTGCCATTTCCCTTTACAAAAGAAATGTGCATCCGGGGTATCGAAGTTAATGACTACACCATGGAATATGACTATTAACTGTTACTGCCGTGAGGCTCAAGTGGATGTGGGTTTCACCATGCTGGGATCCTTCTTCGAGTGTGAGCTTGGGCCTGATGCCGTCACCTATAACACTTTACTCGAGGGATACTTTCGACAAGACAAGTTTTCTGAAGCACAAGGACTATTCAAGAAAATCATATATCTAAATTTGTGTAAACCGGATGAGATGATGATTGGAGTTATGATGGACGGGTTGTCTAAGGTTGGGAACACTGATGCAGCTTTTAAGTTCCTTAGAATCATAGAAGATGATGATATTAAGCCGAACACCGTCCATTACAACACTATTATATTCATGCCCTCATCAAGGATAAGTTGATGGACCAAGCTCTTGGTCTCTTTCAAGAGATGATTGATAGGGGTATTGCCCCAGATGCCTTTACTTGCAATTCCTTAATCTCTGGCTTTTGTAATTTAGGCAAGTGGGATAAGGTGAAAAGATTCTGCACTGTGATGACAAGTTTTGGGATTTCTCCAGATGTAGTCACTTATATTGATGCATATATATTCGAAGGAAGGATTAATGAAAAAATCGATTGATGCATTTGATGGTCCAGAGTGCTGAGACTCCTGACACTATCACATATAATACTCCCTCCGTCCGGTCTTTAATATAAGAAATTTTTTTGATTTGTCCTAAGTTTTACTTAGTATGTATTTTTAATTGAGAAAAAAAATCTTAATAACATATTTTCACATTCATTATGTTCTCTTGAATTTTATGAAATATTTTTAAAGTTTTTTTGTCCATTAAAAATGCGTATTAGGTGAAACCTATGACAAAATAAAAATGTCTTATATTAAGGACGGGAGGGAGGGAGTACATTGATGGATGGATATTGTTCGCAGGGCCAACCAGATGAAGCAAAAAGTGTTTCTGATACCATGGTTGCTAATGGAGTTGTTCCTAAGATTATCTCCTACAATATTTTGATCCATGGATATTTCAAGCAAATGGAGTTTGAAAAGGCAATGTGTTTGTTCGAAGAGATTCCATTCGCTCCTTCCATTGCTACTTACAACACTCTCTTGAAGGGAATGTTTCAATTTGGGAAGTGTGATGCTGCAAAAGATATTTTCATTAAGATGCAACTTTACACCTTGAAACCTAGCTTTTTCACCTGTCGTGTAATGCTAGATGGTTTTTGTAAGAATAAGCGAGTTGATGAAGCATTGCGACTATTGCATTAGATGGAAAAGGATGGAGTAGAGTTAAATATTTCAATGTATATAACCTTATTGATGGATTGTGTAGAAGTGGGAGGCTTGCAAAAGCGCTGGACGTTTTTAAAAAATTTTGAAACTGCAAGATGTAAACTGTCAAGTGTAAAACACATCTTTCTTTCTGAACTAAATTTGGATGAAGAACACAAAATGGTGAAATGGTTATGTAAACATCTTCCTGTCCGAATCAACAAACTGAACTGATCGATTGGGGTCGAGAACTGGACTGAACTACTCCATTATTTATCATCAACATGAATCAGTTTCGACTTAGCTATCAATCATCTCGGATTCCCTCTGTCCCTTAAAAAATATAATTTTGAATTTTTAAGATTTGTACTATTCTTAATACAAATTTTGAAAATCAATTTGAACTATTTTTTTTTTACGAAGGAACTAATATGTTACAAACAAAATGTGATGTTATGTAGTTGCTTACCTGTTTCCGATGGAAGATCGCATCATAACTTCAATCCACCAATAGAAAAATGCAAAGAAGCCATATCAGCAATTTTACTTTCAAAATAATCAACAAAGATCAAAATTCATCTCAAACCAATAATATAAAATGAACAAAAGGTTTCATAACCAAAGCTAAAAATGCGAGATCCAATGGTACCTTAATGGTTTGGACCTTATACAATCAACCGTGAGATTAATAGGCCTAGTAGTTTAGTTAAGTGGATAGAAAGGCTTGCCATTAACGATTATGAAAGATCAGACACATCGAGTAGGAGATTTATGCGAGTAGAATCTTTTTTAAGAGGATTAGATTTTATCTTGTTATAATAGTATAGATATCTCATATACATAGGTATTTTTTTATAAAAAAAATTGAACACTCGTAAATTGCAACATATAAATCATAAAGAAACCACAACAAATTTAATTTATTTGTGAAATATAATAATTTTTTTTTATTTGACAGTACAAATTTCTTTCTAATAAGTACTGTGGGTTTTTTTTTAATTTTTTTTGTTATGCCGGGAACCTCAAAAGAGATGCTGTTAGAAGGTTGAAGTTTGTCTACGAATTTCTTTGCATTTTTATTTGTGGTTGCACGGTTAATGTATGTTGTTATCATGTATTTTGGCTACATCATGGACGTGATTTAGTGTGTAGGAAAATAAAAAGGCTGAAACAAGTTAGTGGCTGGTTACTTTTGTAGTTACAAGCTAGTAATGGGTAGTTACTCCTTGTAATTTGAATTGTAACCTTTGTAACTTGTAAATTTAGTTTTAGCCTAGGTAGTTGGAGCTGTCAACTACTTGCTCTATATAAATAGAGGGAAATTCTCGAGTGGAAGGAAGAGAGGAGGCAGATTAGAGAAGCTTGAGTTCTTGAATCAAGAGTTGTGAAATTTGTCTAAGTGTTGGATAGATTGAACCGAGTGGGTGAGAAATCTCTTGTAAACCTTTTATTGAGTTGAATAAAAGTCTGAGGGAGATTTGGGACTTTGGTCCAAGATATATGTGTTTTTACTTCCTTAGTTTTTCATTCGATTAAATTCTAAGTAGCCATTTTATTGACTAAGTATTGATTTGTTAGTTCCGTTGCTTTGATAATACTTGGTGCGGGCTAGTAGGATTTTTGGTTTAGAAAATTTTATGCCGGTTAACATCATTTTAGAGTCAGCGAAAAAGGGGTCTAATAAGTTGGTATCAAAGCCCCGTTTCAGGGCCTGGTGCTTGTTGCTACGATGATGGCTGGTTCGGGAACGTTGACGGATCGAGTAGTGCGACTTGAAGATGCTATCCAAAAAATTCTGGGTAGGTTAGAAGCGGTACCACAAACCTAGACGGTGATACCAACGGAGATCTTGGAACTCAAGTCGGTCGTTGAACATCTTGTTGCAAAGGTCGAGAAGATGGAGCAAATTGTATCTTCAAGACCAGAATAATCAAATTCGGGTGAGTTAAATTCGAAAATTGATGGTTTGTTTACTGATGTTGCTCTTGAAATGTGCAAGGGTGAATGCTTCGTCAGTTGAAAGGAAAATTAAAGTTCCCGAGCCTAAGAAGTTCAATGGGGAACGGAGTGCAAAGAAACTTGAGAATTTCGCATGGGACATGGAGCGATATTTTAAGGCGGCTCATGTGCCAGAGGAAGATCAAGTGATGATCACCACCATGTATCTTGAGGGAGATGCAAAGCTTTGGTGGAGGCATCGGG